CGAATCATTTTCTGAATAATGAAATCCATAACATAAATGAGGTTTAAGTATTAAAAAAAATCGTATGTTGATTCTGATTTTTGTGTCTTTATTTCAGTGAAAACATCAAATGCCGAATCATTTTATTTTTCTCAAATTGGAATACGTAATATCATAATAATGGTAAAATTGAAATCATTTTGATTTTTCTATTAGTTTGGTGTTCAATATGCAAAATGTCCATACATTTCAATTTTTAAAATTATTACTCATATTTCAACGTTTTATTGTGAAAGTCTTTGTTCCCACTCAATTTAAAGTCTTTGTTCCCACTCAATTTCTCAATAAAAAGTTATGAAATGATAAATATATCTTTTTATTTTAAAGAAATAAAAAATAAAGAAAAATAAAGAACTAATTGCAACCATACTCTCAACTTTTCTAAAAAAAAAAATTATAAACGACTTCCAAATAAATTATTATAAATTAAAAAAGAAATATGCCCCCACTACTGTCACCCCACTCGACACCCACTCTACCCCACCCCACGACATCGTCTTCTCCTCCCACGACCACGGCCATTACCAACCACCGCCACCAGCTTCTTCGTCGGCATTGTGAATTATCTCTCACCTTCAAAGCACTGCCAATATTACTCCTCAAATTGGCACCCAACAACACAGAAATTGGCCTGCGCTTCTCTCACTCGACATTCAAATCAGCAAAATCAATAGATAAACACATGAGAATTGAACGAATGAAAATTCAAAAGCCTGCTGACACTATATTTTCTCCTCTTATTTATTCGTAGCGCCAACCCTTACATCAAATTCATTTCTTCTGATTACAACTCCCCATTCAAGACTAGGATTCAAAAGTCGAAGGAAGCTTACGGTTTTCTTCAAGAAAGGTGGATCCTTCCTACCATTTCGGCTAAGAAAAACTGTTGATGCCTCTGAAGAAAGCCAAGAAGGTAATTCAGGCAATTCGAATCCTTCTCGGTTCGACTTTGGGAATTTACCTAATATGAAGTCTTTGGTTTTGACAGTAATCAATATGTCTTCAGGTTTGAATTGAGGAAGCCAAAGGCGTAATTGGTACAATTGATTGTGCACCCACAGTAGTTCGTGTTAGATATTTTTCATCATTTTGTATGTGTTATCTTTTGTTTTGCAAATGTTTTGCCGCCCCGACTAGTGTTTCTTCCAACAGATGCGTCCATTCTTTCAAGGGACACACATATTCAAAAGGTTG